GAAACATAAGGGCGGTACAGCATCATGGGGAGTAGTAAGAAGAACATAGGGGGGGAGTAGTAAGAAGAACATAGGGGGGAGTAGTAAGAAGAACACAGGGAGGGGGGAGGAGTAAGAAGAACACAGGGAGGGGGTAGGTGAGGAGATGAGAACACGGAGGGGGTAGGTGAGGAGAAGGGGAGATGAGGAGAACACAGGGAGAGGGGTGAGGAGAAGGGGACACGAGGAGAACACAGGTAGGGGGGTGAGGAGAAGGGGACATGAGGAGAACACATGGAGTGGGGTGAGGAGAAGGGGAGATGAGGAGAACACAGGGAATTTTCAATTGTTGAAAATGTTCAAATTTTATGCACATTATATGCAACAGCAGTATTTGCACTGTAGACATTTTTTTATTTATGCACATTATATGCAACAGCAGTATTTACACTGTAAACCTTTTTTATTTATATAAAGTGTGAGTGAACTTAAACTGTATGGCTATGCTGTGGTTCCTGTAGGCTTTGCGTGCGGGGTAGGGGCGCCTCCGTGTCCATTTTGCTTAGGGCCCCCAAATTCCTTCAAATGGCCCTGCCGATCCTATTTTTTTAACTTGAGGTGTGTGCTGCCGTATTCTGCTTGTGTTATTTATACTGTAATTGCTTTGTATCGTTGTATTTGTGCGTATATGAGCTGTTATATTGTATATGTTCATTAGTAGTTTATGGTATCCTGTATGAGGGCTGCTTGTGGAATTGTGTGTTTGGTAGTGTATGGGGGCTGTTTGGGGTTTTGCATGTGAGAGGCTGCATGTAGGATTGTGTGCATGTATGTGGATTGTTAGTGGTGTTGCGTTTGTGCTGATTGTGTGTATGTTTGTGTGTGGGCTGCTTGTATTATTTGAATAAGGGGAGGCTTATTCTGCAGGTCTGTGTATATCTAGCAGTGTGGGTGGCTTCCCTGGGTTCCAGTGGGGACCAGCCTGGGCAGGTACAGGTCAAGGACAGGAGCTGCAACATCAGCTGTGGGCTGCTCTACTACAGTGTGGATTCCCATTCACAAGTGCTGGGAGGAACTGATCTGAGATCATTTCCTCTAAGTGCTCCAATGCATAAATTGAGGATTGTCCTTCACTACCTCTTTATATTAGCAGATATCTGAAGTTTCACTGAGACTCCTGATAGGACAGACCCTGTCTTGCTCTAGCAGCCTTGAGTGCCGTGGAAAGACACCTCGAGTGCCGTAGGTTGCCTACCCCTGCTATAGAACCTCGACAGATAGACTGCTCCAAGGAATCCACTTTTTTTCCATGATATGTAAACTGACAGCATCACCTTTTTAGAGATCTATGGCTTCCAGGTAATAACTAATGGAGGCATAGGGAGCTGTGTTAAATGCTCAGAAATCGCCAGGTATGCTGGAGTGACTACTGAAACCAAAGTGAATGCTCCAAAGCTTATTTTCCAGTTTACTCTCCAGAATGAGGATCCTTAATCTCCCCGCAGAGAGACCATGTTATCCAGGATTTCTGTCTCCATCTGGTCTCGGTGGGAATTCCACCGGCGTCAGTGTAATAACAGGGGAGGCCTTGGCAGGTGGTCACCCACCTGGGACTCTTACCTGGAACAAACGGCACTGTCTAATGATACAGAGTATCATATTACACTCCTATAGAGAATACAGACCTTTCACCCAGACTGAAATGTAACAACATACACAGCTCTAGATTATCTATCTATCTATCTCAATATTTCTCTATCTACTGTGCATTAGTATTAGCCTGCATCAATCGATTTTTGTATCTCTCAGTGTTTGTTTTGTGTGTGATCTTGTACATTGGTATATCTATCTCTTGTCTGTCAATTTTGTGCATATGTCTAGCTGTCTTACACATCATTCTATATAGGTATCAATTTATATCTTCCTCACCTTAGATTTTAAGCTTCTTGTGACCAGGTTTCCTATAATACCCCTCAGGGGAACACTGCATGATTCTGTTAAGTAGATAGACTGTATTATTAGTAGTTCTTAAAGGGACTCTTTAGGCACCCAGACCACTTCAGCTCATTGAAGTGGTCTGGGTGCAGTGTCCCATGTCCCTTAACTCTACAGTGGTAATTTTTGCAGTAATTACCTCTCAGGGTTAACTCTATGGGTTAACTCTATGGGGTAATCCTAATGTGAGCGCAACCATTGCCGCTTATCCGCATTAGGTCTTCGGCAGGGGAGGCACGTGGGCGGAGCCTGACCCAGCGCTGAGGGACATTGGTGCTGTTTTCAGGTAAGTGACTGAAGGGATTTTAGGGGCACTATAGAAACATATAGTCAGTGGCGTACTAAGGAGGGGCGGAGGGGGTGGTCCGCCCTGGGTGCCACCAGGGTGGGGGGGTGCCATGACCCTGGTCTGAGGGCTGTGTTAGCAGTACGGCCGCACAGTGCCCCATGGTTGTTAGGGTGCTGGGCGGCTAGAACAAACTCGCTGCTGTTACTGCTGCACATGGAGGTGCAGCAAGATGGAATCCCTGCTTTTCCACAGGCTTCAGGGAATCCAGTCCTCCTCCAGCCCACTGTCTGTAAGTAAGAGTGTGTGACTGTGTGTGTGTGTGTGTGTGTGTGTGTGTGTAAAACTGTCTGCCTGTAACTGTGTGTGTGACAGTGTGTGTGTCTGTGTAAAACTGTCTGCCTGTAACTGTGTGCATGTGTGTGTGTGTGTGTGTGTGAGACTGTCTGCCTGTAACTGTGTGTGTAACTGTCTGCCTGTAACTTTGTGTATGTGTGTGACTGTCTGTCTGTAACTGTGTGTGTCTGCCTGTAAATGTGTGTGTGTGTGTGTGTGTAACTCTCTGCCTGTGACTTGTGTCTGTGTGTGTGTGAGTGACTGTATATGTGACTGTCTGTAACTGTTTGCGTGGCTATGACTGTGTGTGTGACTGCATGTGACTCTGTATTTGTGACTGTCTGCCTGTGACTGTTTGATGTTGCCTGTCTGTGACTGTGTGTGTGACTGCATGTGACTCTGTATTTGTGACTGTCTGCCTGTGACTGTTTGATGTTGCCTATCTGTGACTGTGTGCATGTGACTGTCTGCTGCTGCCGTGTGTGTGTCAATGCATGGATTTTGTAGAAAGGGGCAGGGGTTTTGTATTAGGACAGGAGTTTTTATAACGGGGGATAAGCAGGGGATTTGTGGAAGGGGGTTGCGGGGGTTTTGTAGAAGGGGGCAGGACACGGGTTTTGTAGGAGGGGCTGACAGCGGTTTTGCAAAGTTTACAAATTGTAAAAAAAAAAGAAAGCATTTAAATTGTTTACAGGTTTTTTTTTGGGAGGGGGGGAGGGGAGGGTGCAAGGGAGCGCCAAGCACAGGATCCACCCCGGGTGTCAAATGCTCTAGGTACGCCCCTGCATATAGTTCCAGGAAAACCACTCTGTTTTCCTGGCACTATAGAATCTATTTAATGCTTAACCTGTCCCAAACATAACTTGTCTTCTTTACTCCTTCAAGTGTTGGTTCTCCAGTGTCTGTCTCCTTCCAAGTCAATGGTACTACCATTAGCTCTTCCTCACAGGCTCGCTTCCTAGGTGTTTGACCCTGACTCCGACCACACCTTTGTCCCTCAGGTCCAGTCACTTGCCAAATCCTGCCACTTCTATATCAGAAACATAGCTCGCACCTGCCCCTATCTAACACCGGATGCTGCCAAGGTGATGCTCCATGCAGCTATCATCTCTTGCCTTGACTACTGTAATCTACTTCTTAGTTGTCTTACACATTTCCAGCTTGCCCATTAGAGTCTATAATGAATATGGCAGCGAGGTTCATCTTCCTGTCTGCCTGCACCTCCCATGCCTCACCCCTCTGTCAGTCCTTACACTGGCTTTCCATAAAATTTAGAACTCATTTTAAAATTCTGGTTACAAATCTCTACATAATTTTGCTCCCAACTACCCATGCTCACTAACAAGTATGTCCCATTAAGGCCCCTACGCTCTGCAGAAAACCTGAGTCTATCATCTGTTTGTACTTGCACCTCTCATGTCCACCTTCAAGACTTCTCTAGGGCTGCGCTGTTCCTATGGAACGCCCATCCCTGCTCCGTTAGACTCTCACTGAGTCTCCATTTCTTAAAAAGATAATTAAAAACTCACTTTAGGAAAGCATATCAATTAAACTGTTAATAGCGTTACCTCCCTGCACCTTGCTTCCTCTTCTGCAACTGTGCCTTTCCAAAAACTAACCATTCATTGTAAACTATTTAAAGGAGCACTATAGGGTCATGAAATACATCCTACCCTTAACTCTGGTGTCACTTTTCCCCACTGCCTTTAGAATGTAAGCTTGTTTGAGTAGGGCCCTCAACATCCTCTGTTCCTGTGCGTCCAACTCGTCTTGTTACAAATAATTGTCTGTTAGTCAGCCTATTGTACAGCGTTATGGAATTTGTTGGTGCTTTATTAATAATATTGTGTACAATGCGTAGTAAACTGTTTAACTGTAAATATTACGATTGGAAATGCCGGTATCATTTTTTTTTTTACAGAATGTTTATGTTTGAGTGTTGCTGCTATATAGGACAGTAGTGAGTTTCCCAGTGGAATCTGCCACCAGCTAGTTCCCGGGTGACTGTCTAGACGGTAATTGTGTGCACCTGACTTAGTAAAGTGTGTATCTTGCAGCCCCTGCAAGCCAAGCCTTTGTCCCATCCTGCCCCTTACTCAGCTGTCAATGTCCCTTCAGACACAGCTCAGCCCTGTGCAAAGCAGACCAAGAAGGAGGGATTTGGCTGGCGAGGCGGGGAGGGGGTTCTGGAGAAAGGGGTGTGTGAGGGGGATGCAGGCTTGGCCCCATATCCCTCAGTTCCTCGCTAGTGCTGATGGAAGCAGGTTAGAGACAGTGCCATTGAAATCTCTTTAATGACACCACACCCCCCTTTCACTAGCAGAGAAGCTAAACAGACACACGTGGTCATCCCATACCTTGATATATATAGACAGACCTTCTGCATATATCAAGTGCACACATTGCTCACTGCCCATGGCACAGCATATGGGTACCTTTCGCACTGGATCTGTTCTGTCGCAGCACAGACAAGAACAATGCGGGTCAGATTGGTGGCCTTTCCTCCACTTTCTTAGAAGGACGCCAGAGGAAAGCAAAGAGGACTGCGTTTGACTTGCTCCATGGAGTACAAAGAGTTAATAGAATTGTGAGTAAACGTGATTTACGCCAGTATGGAGGGAAGAGATCCAGCCACACCTTTGGCAGCCATTTTATTATACCACGTTTTAATAATTGGTGGCCGTGGTCTTCAGACCTTCTGTTAACCCCACGTGATAACACATAAAACCAAAATTGACACATAATTAAATAAAGAAAGGGACACTTAGAGCTGTAATCTCAGGGTGGTATACAGGAACATGGTGGTTTGATTTTTAACCCCTTCTGCACTGTGGCAACTTACCTTGTTGCGTTACAAAGGGAGGAAATGGTTAATGGCCCAATAGAACCCTTAACCTTTCATCATTTGAGAGGCGTGGTTGAGTTAACCTCAGCACCAAGTGGCACCTTGGTGTAAGCTCAAATATGGCATGCCAGCAAGAAGTCACCAGTGGAAGTACCTGATTGGCCCCTGCTTACCTCATGGATTACCGTATCTGTGGTATGATCTCATCACCCCCTAACCCTCGGCGGCAGCACCTCCTCCTGCCTGCACATCTGCTTCCCAAGGGAAGAGGTAGGGCACAGCCCTCCCAACCTTTTAATAACTGATAATCAATACATCTGATCCCTCTCCACAGGCATACATAGAGTGTGCCAGATGGCTGCGGCTAATTACTGCCACCTGAGCCCCTACTTATTTATATTTAAGTAACCACTTGCACCGAGGGCATTGTGGGGTATGTAGTTCCTGCTAATTCTGGGCCAACCACCGTATAACTGTTTATAACAAGACCTAATTAACCCCTGAATTGCCAGAGAGGCATACAGTGTGTAAAAAATGTTTGATCTGAAGCAGTATGACAAAACAAGGTGTTAATGTGTTAATTGAAGAACAATATACGATATATAAGATCAACATGTTTGAAATGCCCCCCCCAAAAAAAAATATATATAAAAGAGCCAAATGAACTATATGTGCTTTACCTGTAACATGGTTTTGAAATTAATAATGTGGTAGAATAATAGAGCATTTTATTAAATCTTCGGCACTATTTAGTCAGAGGTTAGAAGGATGATTGGCTCTTAAGTTAAGAGCTTGCGTACAGAAAGTGGTAACCAAAGTGGACTGCAATTCCAATCGTACCCAGGCATCACTGATTTAATATCACCCAATAGGTGATAACAGCGGCATTTTTGGTCCTGATAAGCCTTTAAACAGTTCAGAGTGATTTAATATAAGCAATTTAAGGCATATTATTATTTTATATTATAAATTTTGGTTTTAGTAAGTTTGGATTTTGAATATTCTTGTAATTATGTGTATATTTTACATTAAAAATGTATCAAGCATTTAGAAACCCTGACATGGTGTTATCAAATTTGACAAGAAAAAGCTGTAGACAAATGGGTTTTCATGCTTAGAAACATCACCAAACAGTGCCACCATATTACCTAAACAGTGCGACCATCTATTCTAAACCAAGAATGTCAAACTCAAAGGCTAACATGGGCCAATTAAACAAGGTTTAAGTTTATGTGGGCTGCAAAAAAACAAAAACTTCAGTTTTAATAGAAACTTAGGTTTATTTCAAAAAGTTCCGTATAAAAAAAGTTGCCCAACTGACACTGGACGTCCTCACACTCGTAGGGTAGTAAACAAAAGAGCAAATTTATTTTAAGGAAATGTGCATTTCCATATAACCAATTTTTCAGTCCAACTACTTTGACATATTAAGAAAAGTTTGGTAATGGAACTGAAATGGTGAATGTATGCTGTTACACAGGTGTAAAAAACAAATGATGTTATCTTGTTGATTTTTAAGTCCTATGAGTATGTTCATTTTGACTGAGATCATCAAACTTGATGATCTCAGCCAATCCAATGCTTTACCATAGGAAAGCATTGGGAAGCTATTGTGCATGTGTGGCTAAGCGCTGCGCGGCCAATCAGCATCTGCATGGGGAATGTTCAACGTCTTCATGCAGACCCAATCTAATACACTCTTCCCTCCCCCCATCTAATACACTGCTCCCAAATCTAATGCACTGCCCCCCCCTTCCTCAACTCGTATACACTGCCCCACACCCCCACTCTAAAACACCAGCCCCCCAATCTAACAAACTACTTCACTCTAATACACAGCCTCTCCCAATCTAATACACAGCTTCCCGCACCCCTCTATATTACACTTCCCCCCTCCCTCCACTCGAATTGAATACACTGCTCCCTCCCTACCTCAATTTAACACACTGCCCCCTCCCACCACTCTAATACACTGCCCCCCTCCCAATTTAATACACTGCCCCATCCTTCCACCACTCTAATACACTGCCACCATTCCTCCCACCAATTTAATACACTCTCTACCTCCCCATTTTAACACACTACACAGGAAGGTCCCCCAAGACCATCATAAGATGAGCTACTCGTCTTCCAGTTCCAGCCCAGCTGAAGGAGGAGTGGCTGGCATGCTCTGCAGACAGACAGCAAATCTGCGCCATGTAGCGGTTGGAAATTACTTCACACACTGTATGCGCATATCTGGCAGCCGGCCTTGCAGCTAGTCACAGCTACAGCACATAGCTGCCCCATGGCAGGCATGCCACAAAAATAGTCATTGCAGGCCGCAAGTTTGGCATGCTTGATCTAAATAGTGCGACCACCTATAAAGTGCGACCATCAGTGTCGTACACACAATCCATGGGGCCCCCGGTGCGAAACTGATCAATGGGAACCCCCCTCTTCTCCCCCCTCCTCGACAGACACACACACATACATACAGAGACACATACATACACAGTCACATACATACAGAAACATACATAGAGACACACACACATAGACACATACAGACAGACATACATACAGACACACACACAAGACACACATACATACAAAGACACATACATACAGACACACATACACATACATACAAAGACCCATGCATACACACATACATACAAACAGGCACACATACAGACAGACAGACACAGACACACACTGTAACGGAACCGTTGGCACCCCGACCGGGTACCTTCCGCTGACCGATGCTCCTAGTGCTTTCCGAGGTCTCCAAGCACTCCACCTGACACCATAACCACTGCAGACCCCACGAACCGCCGCAGCTTGGTTGGGGTCTCGCCGTCTCCACCCATTCTGGCTCCAAGACCAGGGTCCAGCTTCCAGTAGGTCGACCTCTCCGAATTCCAGAGAGCAGGAACAGGAACAAGCTCTTAGCAGAGCTTCGTGATCATACCCTGGGGAGTATAGGGATTACCTACCGTTCTCCAATCCCCCAAACATGAGCCGAAACTTCATGAAGGTACAAGATGATCTCACTCCAATGAGCGTTTATTACTCCTTATATACAAGTTTTCATGCCAGAGGCACACCCCCTGGACCTGGTGGTAAACTGTGACAAAAGGGACACAAACCAATGGGAACACTAATTAACATAATAACACTCCCACACACACAATGAAATCCCTCCTCTCCCTCCTGGAGATAATTGGCTTAAGGCACTGCAGTAAACCTCAATTATCTCCAGGTACAGAAAATATCTACATTTTACACTAACAGCAAAAATACGTAAAAATACATAAAAATACATCATTCTTATTATAGAACCCCCACATTTGTCCAGTGACAAAAGGCATTTCGTCCCACACACATACACACATACAGACAGACAGACAGACACACACACACACAGACACACAAACACATACATACAAACACACACATATACAACATTTTTAAGTCACCCTCCTGTTTCCTACTTTTTAGGTGCAGGAGGGTGACTTTCCCTCGGATCCAGTGGTGGCTCAGGTTGATGTGGGCTCTCTCTGATAGCTGGGAGGAGTAACGGGTAGTCACTTCCTCCCAGCAGTGATCTCATCACAGGGGGCCTGGTCGCACTGTTAAAGCACCGCAGCCAGACCGGGCCCCCTGGAAATCCATACCCATCGGGTGGCCCTAACAGCACGGGCCACCCAATTGGCCCCTTAAACATGCGGCCCCGGCGGTTTGCTGCACGGGCCAGGGCCGCAAAACATGGCGGCTGGTACCCGTGGCATGCTGCAACCCCTATATGTACACCACTGCAACCATCTAAACCAGGGGTAGTCAACCTTTTAATACCTACCGCCCATTTTTGTATCTTTGTTGATTCTACGTTTTTATGTGTGACTGTGAGGTGCTGTGTGTGAAGGGTACTGTGTTTGTGTGTAAAGGGTGTAGTGTGTGTGTGTGTGAGTGTCACGGACAGATAGGATCTAACAAGCAATGCAAATACCAAAGAACAGAAAACGTAATAGCGGACCTCAATGGCCGAATTAAACTCCACTAGAATATACAAGGCAAGCCGAGGTCAAGGAAACAGAAGACAGACTAAACGTTAGGAAAAGCAAAAGGTCAACGACAGAGAGGAGAATAATCAAGGAATAGCCAAGGTAAAATACCTGAAATACAAGAAATACGACAGGGCATCGTATATCTTTTGTTTGATGACAGGGCATTAAACAAAAGGAAAAAAGAGTTTAAACAACCTAGGAAAGGTTCTCATTGGTTATCGGGATCTGATGACGCCAAAATGTGCGTGCACGTGGATGACATGATGACACGCATGTGTGTGTCACCAGCATCCAAAATGGACGATGTGCCTTCAAATTGCGGCCTTTGGGAGTGGAGAGCGGAGGGACACCCAGCAAGTGCTAAGTTTAGTCTTAACTTCAGCGTGTCGGGCACGGGTACGTCAGCGGCATGACAGTGAGGGGTGCACTGTGTGTGTAAAAGGGCCTTGGCCTTTTCTGCAGTACCCACCACCGCCCACTTGAAATCCCAAACCGCCCACTAGTGGGCGGTAGGGACCCGGTTAACTACCCATGATCTAAACCAGGCCTGTCCAACCTGCGGCCCCCCAAATGTTGCTGAACTACAACTCCTATGATTCTTTCAATGAAACAGATAGCCAGGGAATCATGGTAGTTGTAGTTCAGCAACATCTGGGGGGGCGCAGGTTGGACAGCCCTGATCTAAACAGTTTGACCACCTAAACAGTGCAGCCACCTAAACAGTACGACCATGTCACCTAATCAGTGCAACCATCTAAACAGTGTGACCTTGTCCCTATACAGTGCGACCATCTAAACAGTACGGCCATGTCCAGAAAACAGTGCGACCATGTAAACAGTATGGCAATGTCACCTAAACAGTGCAACCATCTTAACAGTGTGACCTTGTCCCTAAACAGTGCGGCCATGTCACCTAAACATTGCAACCATCCAAACAGTACGGCCATGTCCCTAAACAGTGTGGCCATCTAAAAAGTGTGACCATGACCTAAGCAACGCGGTCATGTCATCTAAACAGTGCGACCATGTCACCTAAACAGCGTGGCCATCTAAACAGTACGGCCATTTAAACAGTGCGACCATGTCCCTAAACAGTGTGGTCATATCATCTAAACAGTGCGACCATGTCACCTAAACTGCATGGCTATCTAAACAGTATGGCCATTTAAACAGTGCGACCATGTCCCTAAACAGTGCGGTCATATCATCTAAACAGTGTGACCATGTTCCTAAACAGTGAGTGTATATCTATCAAACAGTGAAAGTATGTCTACTAAAGCGTGAGGGCACGCCAACTAAACTGGAGGCAGCCAACTACTGCTCATTCTTAGCACCTAGGCAGCTGTTGTTGTACTGATCTCGCCCATTCCCCCACCATGCTCAATAAACAAAATCTATATGGTGCAGGCTATGGCAAGTCAAATGTATGTTAATGGTAACATTTTATCTTTTCCACTTTCATAAATGTGAAGGCTTGGCCTGCAGTTGTGGAAGGGGCATGGTCCCCTATTTAAACCCACTACTCAGCTCCCTCTGCCTCGTTCGCACTTTAGCGTTTGCATGACGCTAGTTCCAGTCACATTTCCTCTGTCACCTGGTTCTCGTGGCTTTCGTTACCTGGCCTGCCGTTCCCCCGCTGTCCGCTTGACTGTGGTTGTTCTGGGCTCTGTTCCGGCTCTCCTGATGTCCCTGGCACTCCAAGCCTTGGCTATCCAAACTGACTCCTCCTCTGAACCGTGAGATGCTTACCCTACCATCGCGCCATGGTCGCAGTCACTCGGCGTCATCACGGTTTGGGTCTATTCTCAGCACTGTATTTCGTATTTGTTAGTTTTTCTCATGTGTTGTTTTTTTCACATGTTCCTGTTGCTTGGTGTCGGCCTCACGAACCACGTTCGCATAGGCATGGTTTGCGTTTTTTCGCTACTTCCAAGGTGTTTTCATGGCTGTGTGGTGTTCGCGCGTTTTCCTGCAAACGCCTCTCCATTTCTTTGGTTTTCGTTTGGTTTTCTACACATAAGCCCTTTGGCCGAACAGAGCTTTCGTGCAGTTTTGGTTAGAATGTGACTCTCACTTTGTAAGTGTTAGCATGTTTGCGTTCGAATGTCCCCCTCTCCTCGTGGGTTTGTTCGGGGGTGTTTGTCTGACCCCCTAGTGGTGGGTTTTGATATTGCTCACAATGTTGAAAAAATCAAAACAAAACATGGTTCTAATTACGGTTGCTGCCTCGTACCCCCCTACGTTTCATTACACATTTCCCAGGTACGTCCTGTCTCGATCTCGCTACCCTTCCCTCTTAGTCTAGACGTGTCTGGGTCTTAGGTGTCCAATAAGACCCAGACTGGCTTCTTCACCTTAGGTTAGTCATCCCGCGAGGCCAACACCCATCCTTATACTCAGAGGTACTATGTCCCTCGGGACAAATCATAGTTAGTCGCCTCGCAGCATGGCATAGTGAGGGCCTCAACTGTCACTACCATTTTATCTTATGTTACAAGTCACCGAGAGGCCTACAACCCTCCACAACATTCGGTGGCCACGTTATCCCCTTGCGCCAACGCATACATAGAGCCTCTCTTGACGCTTGGCATCTAGCAGGGCCTCACCTGTCACCAACCTAGTTTAATTGTTTCGCCGCTAGCAAGTGGATGCAGGAGAGGGCCGAGTGCTGCTAACCCCTCTGATGTTCACTCCATGTTGTCTTCTCTCGTGGCATCTATGTTGCAGATCAATCAGAGGTTGGAGAAGCTGGCCAGTTTTCCCGCTCCTGTTCCAGCAGAACCTCCTGTGGCTGGCCCGGGTAATTTGTTGTCTAACATGGATACTCCACTGGATGTCTATCCAGCACATATGGTCCCGGCTAATATTAGGAAGGATATCTTGGACGGCAAGGACCGACATTACCGACCTGGTTTCGCAACTCATTGCCTCTCAAGATATCATAGATAATAAGACTTACACCTATGGTGATTTGCCGGTTGTGATCAAGGCCCGGGTCCCCTGGTTTAACAGGAAACTCTCTGTCCCGGAATTTGTCCTGGCATTTGGGTTATTTAGGGATGTTTTGTGCTCGGTCTACCCTGCTAGGAGGCAGGAGTTGGACCTTTACATGCACAAACTGGTGGACTTGGGTCACAAATATGGAGGTACATCTTTTTACGATTACGACAGGTCCTTCTCTGCTAAGGTGTCTGCGGTTCTCAGTTTGGTGTTAGGTTGAATTGGAGTAAATTGTTCCGTCCCCTTCTACACAACCTGACAAGGTCATCAAGGAAAAATTGGGTCGCCCCATACTCTTTCTGGGGAAGTCCCAGGTCTGTAATAACTTTAATGCCGGTACATGCAGTTTTAGCGCATGCAGGCTTCTGCACGTTTGTTTCAAGTGTTTCTGTGCACATGCAAAAACGATGTGCCCCAATTAATTGTATCCCAAACCATACTTAACCTCTGTTAATGTGAATGCCTTATCAGCTATGTTGTCTTCTCACCTATGCAGGCACTTAGTTGATTTCTTAATCTCTGTTTTTTCTGAGGGTTTTCATACAGGCATTATACATATGCCGTCAGGTATCTTCGAGTGTAAAAACCTGCAATCAGCCCTGGCACAGCCGCAGGCGGTTGATGCTCTCATAGAACAGGAGGTCGTAGGGGTTTTTCTTTTAAGTCCTTTTCAAGCTCCGTCTTTCACTTCATGGAGGCGCTTGACTTAATAAAACGGATATTGTCAATGCTTTTAAACTATTACCGACACACTATACTCTCTGGCATTTGCATGGTGTTAAATGGAAGGGCCTATATTACTGTAACGGAGCTCCCCGTACTCCAACCGAGTACCCTCCATTGATGGACGCTTCCTAGCTTGCGCCGAGGACCACACACACCGCACCGGACACCACCGCAAACTCCACAACCGCTGTAGCTTGACTGGAGTCTCGCCGTCTTCCTTCCACCCTGGATCAGCTTCTGTCCTCCAGGACTGTGTGGGAAAGACCTCTTCCTTCCACCCTGTATGAACCTCCAGCATCCAGGACTGTGCGGGGAAGACCCCTCCTCCAAGCAGAACGTGTCAGGAACAAGCTCTTAAAAGAGCTAAGTGATTCGAGCTCAGGGGAGTATGCAGAGCATAGCAATCCCCATTGTGATTATAACAGCTCCCTCCAATAACGAGACAAGGCTACGTTTAGAGGGATCAAGAAGAACTGTCTGAACCTTTATTTTACTTGGGACTAGCCCATATGGTCATTACATTAACAATGCTGTGAAAACTCAATAAAATTACAAACAGCCAAATCATAGCAGGCAACATACAGTGACTTATGGCCTATTTTTAAAGGGGTGGGGGAGACATATTTAACATAAAATATCTCATGTGCCTGCAGAATTAGCAATATGCAAATCTACCCGAATATGCAAATGAACCAGTCTTGCTATTCGGGTAGTGCATATTTCTGTTGCTACCAACAGAGGGCACTAGACAAGCTCCGTAGCCAAATCCACCTAGTTGGTAGCAAACCTCAGCAGTACAGGAGAGCAGGCAATACATTTCACAGTACACACACACACTATAAACATTACACACACCCTGCACCTATAATGGGTACAGGGTGACTAAAACATAAGAGAAATAAAGCAACCTACATAAATAGTCTGTCTGAAGGTAGAATAGGGGCCTTAAAGCCAAATACATCAAAGAGTCATAGTCACCGGGGAGGAGGCTGGCAAGCAGGCCTCTCCAGGACCAACTGGCGACGGGCACTTCGTCACAATTACTTTTTCTCCTGGCTTACCTTTGGTTCCAAAAGTAGCCCAAAACTGTTCGACATTTTCGCAGAGATCCTGTGCTGCTTGCTCCTTAATTGTAATTGATGTCCCGCAGTCATCCACTATCTGTACGACTTCCTTATGATTGAGGAAAACACATTTCCCCCCCCCCAACCCCGTAGTCTTGAGGAAGCCGTTGCCATTTTCCAGTTATTGTGTGTACCAGTGTCACCCAAGAAAACAGAAAGTCCAGATACCTTCATTACCTTTCTGGGTATACAACTTGACTCTATTACCATGCAGGCCAGTCTGCCCAAAGAGAAAATAGATCATATACTGTCATGCATTGATTGTTATATTCAAACCAGGTCCTGCTGTCGGAAAGAATTACAATCTTTGTTTGGCTCCTTGAATTTTGCTATGAGGATTATTCCTCAGGGTCGGGTATTTATATCTCGCTTACTATGCCTGTTTCCTGATCTTCCTCATGATTATAGCAGGATCACACTCGATGACCAGGCCACAGCGGATCTGCTCATGCGGCGAAGGTTCTTGCTCTCCTGGAACGGGAAAAGCATGTTCCTTCCCGAAATTTCAGAAGAATCACCCTCGATATGGATGGATGCAACGGCCACTACCGGCTTCTCAGCCATTTTCGGTTCTGAATAGCTTTGGGGTGCTTGGCCAGCGAAGTCCTGGGCATTGAGGGTTTTCCCACTACCTCCGCTCTTTTTGAAATTTACTTGCTTGCAGCGGCTGCTGTGGATTGGGGTCGGGCGTGGTCGGGTTGTCCGGTTCGCTCTTTCTCGGACAACCAGGCCACGTGGAACAACATTAATAAAGAGCGTCTTGTTATCTCACGGGTGTTATCTTTCCCGACTGTCTCATTCTCTAACAAACGCAGAGCATACGACAAGGCTTTTTCCTTGTTTAATAGGTTCTTATTAGAATATGACGTTACTGACTCTTTTGCAATGTTGACTGTGGTAGGTTTTGCCTTTTTTTTTTGCCACCTCAAACTTACATTAACCCATAGTACCATCAAATTATTACTATCAGGTATATAACATCACATGTTGAAAACATGTCTTCATACCAGATTAAATCCATACTCAGAGGCATTCAGAAATCTGGACACGCTCAAACACATAGAAGATTACCTATCGATATCCAGCTATTTTATTCTCTTTCAGACCTATTAGATGCCTGTCCCTTTGATTCACGCACTAACCCTGTAATTAAAGCTGCAATATACCTGGCTTTTTATGGTTTTCTTAGGCACCGAGAATTTAACACAACTTCCACGACCAACTTAAAATACTGTCTCAGGAGGTCTCACCTAGCTAAACTAGGAGACTATTATGTACTTACCCTTCCACACACAAAAACAACCTAGGATGGGTCCTTATTACCCTACACATAATAAATGGTGCCCGGTTAAAGTCCTAGCTTCCTATTTACTTTCTCTTAGTATCCAAGCCTCCCAACCACTGTTATCTTTACACGGGTCAGTCCTTACTACAACGAAATTCATGACTCACATCAGATCATTGATTACGAGGCTAGGTCTCAACCCTTCCGACTATTATGGCCACTCTTTTAGAATAGAGGTGGCATCCACGGCCTCAAGCAAGAACATACCTGTACATATAATTAAAACACTAGGCCGATGGAAGTCCTCGGCATACTCCCTGTACATACCACAACCGGTACAAGAACGCATTTAATAATATGTCCATGTAATTATGCTCTTCCCTTTTGTTGATTGTAATGAATTCTAGCCTGTATCTGTTTTTGCCCTCTTTATTTACAGGCCTACTGTTTCGTCGGGTCCGGCACACCACAACCGACTTTTCTCTTCTTACACTTTGCTACACTCCTTTTACTCTTCATTCGGCCTTTATGCCCCTAACACAACTATAATTAATGCATTGTTACCAGTTAAAGGACCACTATAGTGCCAGGAAAACAAACTTGTTTTCCTGGTAGTGTGTAGTCCTTAGGCCCCCCCCCCCACCCTCAGGGTCCCCCTCCCGCTGGGCTGAAGGGGTTGAAACCCCTTCAGCCACTTACCTTTCTCCAGCGCCGGGCTCCCTCGGCGCTGGGGAACTCTCCTCCTGCCGACGTCAGTGCCAAATGCGCATGCGTTGCAAGAGCCGCGCGCGCATTCAAACCGCCCATAGGAGAGCATTATTCAATGCTTTCCTATGGACGTCTGCATCTTCTCACTGTGATTTTCACAGTGAAAAGTGCGGAAGCGCCTCTAGCGGCTGTCCGGCAGACAGCCACTAGAGGCTGGATTAACCCTCAGTGAAACATAGCAGTTTCTCTGAAACTGCTATGTTTTCAGCTGCAGGGTTAAAACTAGAGGGACCTGGCACCCAGACCACTTCATTGAGCTGAAGTGGTCTCGGTGCCTATAGTGAGCAACTATAAAAACATCTCTGTGTACACGTGCACAACCTCAATAATTATTAGCATTCACAAAGCAATATAGTCCTCAGCACTTTACCATTATAGAAAGGGATATTTGCAGGCCCTGCTCAGACAAGCTTACAATCTATGAGGATTTGAGGTTTTACTGGTAAGGTAGTAGGAGTGGGATTTAAACCCGGAATTCCCTATTCTGAGGAATCACCATTGCTCTAGCCAGCAGATAGTGTTACAACCATTTGAAAATAATAATTCATTCAATCACTGCACATACACACATGAAAGTAAAACCATAAACTTGTCTGATTGAAACACACGCACATGTCAATCGTTGAGATCATCAATACCCAATAAAAGAAAATCATTATTGCCATTCCATTGAGAAGAGGAGCTATTTTATCAGGGCTGGCCCAACTACACAGGAGACTGAGGAGACACAGGGCCCCTAACATCACATGCCAGAGAGGTTTATTGTAATCTTTAAAAGATGTGGAAATAGTGGAGCGATATCGCTTATCCCGTAAAAGTCACCTGACATTGTATGACATTCTTAAGGATGACTTGGAGCCATTGTCAGAGAGGACTAAGGCAGCACCTGGGGTGGTGTTTATGTTAAGCATCTGGCAGCTTCCAGAGTACTGAGGGTGTTGTTAGTGGGATATCTCATTTCCTCACTGCCCTTAGGACTCACTGTCAGATGTGTATTTCCTTTTCCTCAACTAGAGATTCTCTGGAATATGGTAAAGAGGGGTTGCTACAGGAGGGAAGGATGGACCATAGATTGCACCCTTGTGGCTCTCAGGCTGCCCCAAAATCAAGAGGCACTCTATAGGAACTGCAAGCACATCCACTCTCTCAATGTGCAAGTTAAGATAATTTTTTATATATTCCGACCTGTATTGCACTTTTGCACTGATAAAATTTGAATTCCATTTTGACCATCCAACCCGTTTTATTGAGTTCGGCTGGTCACAATTCTGATGATATTAAATCCAGTCGAAATTAGAAAAAGAAAAATTAATGCTGAAGCTAGTTGATCAATTATATGATATGGCAGGGCACAAAATTTCCTCTTGAGCACTAGCCACTGGCGAGTAAGAATTCAGCGACTAGTGACTAGTACATATCTCCCAAGTGTATCTATTTAGGATGGGCAGTCCCTATTTTGGGCCCAAATCCCTCTGTCCTCCTTCTCTGTCCTAATGTCCCTCTTTTCTAAGAGCTCCATATTGTTTGTCTGAGTGTATAACAGAGCTCCACAGCAATAATAAATCACTGTAATGTGTCTTTAAACTGCAATAAATGTGTTTAGTAATCAGTCTGTGCAAATAAGGTATAGTGCTCTTGTTCTAATTTTAGTTACATAAATTATTAGTAATTCACCTAAAGCTAGCATGTCAAACTTGCGTCCCACATGGACCATCTCTGCGGCCCAGCAAGCCACGAGTACATGCTGGTGTTATAGCAGAGTAGGCACCTGCTTTCCCCACATTGCAGGTACCTACTCTGCTAACACTTACCCGGCCGGGGAGGAAGGGATGGTGGATGCAGCAAAGGAGCTCAGCCTTCCTGTTCCTCACTGCTCCCGTCTAGTGAAGCTGGGCACCGGAATATGACGTCATATTCCGGCACCCGGGATCACTACATCGCGCGAGGGAGCAGTGAGGAGCAGGAACGAGATCTCCAGACCGAAGATCCCCACACCAGCTCCCAAAGGTAGGGAACAATAAATTAAATGGTGTGTGTGTGTGTGTGTGTCTGTCACTGTGTGCATCTGTGTCAGTAAGTATGTGTCTGTCAGTGTATGTGTGTCTGTATGTGTGTGTCTGTCAGTGAGAATGTGCGTGTGTCCGAGTGTGTGTGTGTCTGTCAGTGAGTATGCGTGTGTCTGTCTGTCAGTGAGTATATGTATGTGTGTTTGTAAATGTGTCTGTCAGTGAGTATGTGTGTATGTCTGTCAGTGTATGTGTGTCTGTATGTGTGTGTCTGTCAGTGAGTATGCGTGTGTGTCTGTCAGTGAGTATGCGTGTGTGTCTGTCTGTCAGTGTGTCTGTCATTGTGTGTGTCTGTCAGTGAGTGTGTGTGTGTCTGTATGTGTGTCTGTCAGTGAGTATGTGTGTATGTCTGTCAGTGAGTATGTGTCTATGTGTGTGTCTGACTGTCATTGAGTATGTGTGTGTGTCTGTCAGTGTGTGTGTGTGTATCTGTCAGTGATTATGTGTGTGTCAGCGGGAGGATCATATTTGGCACAGGGTGGTAGAGGGGGGTGCTGTGGTTTAGTAGAGGGGGGTGATGTGGTTTAGTAGAGTGGGGTGCTGGTTTTTTTTTTATACTGTACTTTTTCAAATAAACCTACGTTTCTATGAAAATATAAGGTTTTGTTTTTTTTGCGGCCCACATAAACTTAAACCTTGTTTATGTGGCCCATGCCAGACTTTGAGTTTGACATGCTTGACCTAAAACTTCCCAGAACAGCCCTGCCCAGGCCACACCCCCACTCACACCCATAAAATTAAGGTCTCTCTCTTTGTCCATTTGAAATGTTGGTGGTATGTGAGTGTGCAATCATGGGCCCTTCAAGCTTGCAGTGCTGCTTAACTTTAATGTCTAGTAGCATAGGACTTGACAGTTTGAGCCGTGATTTTATTTTAGTGAGGGAGGAAAGAAAGTAATCAGATATATGCTCAGAGATTTCTTCTGTACTTCAACATTATAAGGGAAGAGATTTGACGTTGCACTTACGGTCTTCAGAATTTTCTGGATAAAGCAGGAAGTTTAAGATAAAGGTCTTCCCCTAGTTTTCTGGAAAATAACACATATGCTTTAGAGCATAGTAACACTGTCAGAGTATGTTTTATACCTATGATAGTGATAAAAAGATCTGCTCATTGACATAGGAAAAACATTTATTTTCCTTGCTGTTTTCCATGTATTATATGAGTAACAAACTCATGCATAGAGTAAAAAATAAAAGGAAATTGTGCAGCAAATCTGAAAGTGGTTTCTGAGACAGTAACATGTTTTACAGAGATAGTTACATCTTATACAAAGTTTTAAAAACCATAATAGAGATGGCACTGATTTAACAGTCACCACCGTGCATTACAGAGAAAATTATTCAATTTATGGGGACACCAATGCATTCTGCAGAGAAACAATCCTATTACAGAAACCCAACGCATTTTACAAATAACTACAGCGAAACTCAAGAGAGTACCATCATGTTCCAACAGTTGTTAGAAGGGATTTTTTTTATTATTTGTACAAAATACTACAAACAAAATAGTTTTTGTAAAATACTCAGTACTAAATACTGTGAGGGGAAAAAAGTATTTGATCCCCTGCTTATGTTGACTGTTTGCCCACCAACAAAGAAATGATCAGTCTATAATATTAATGGTAGGTGTAATTTATGGGTAGTGAACCTGGTCCCTAACGCCCACCAGTGGGCAATTCTGCAGCAAATGACCGGTGGGCCTCGATGGCCGTGGGCCAAGGCAAGCAGTTGAGATCCTTTCATCTCCTCTGCCGATCCATGCAGAGCCAGCCTTGCTGAGAGCCCTCTCTTTCACACACTAAACCTCTCACACACATACTGCCCCTTCACACACACACGACTGCCCCCTCACACACAATACACCTGTCACACACACACACTGCCCCCTCACACACACACACACACACAGACTGCCCCCTCGTGCACACTGCACGCCTCACACAAACTGCTCCCTCACATACACACTGCCCCCTCAAACACATACAGCTTCCTCCTGAAACACACCTCCCCCTGACACACATTGCATCCCTCACACACACTACACTCCTCACACACACTATACCCTTCACACAAACAGCACCCTTCACACATACACAGCACCTCACACACACACCTCTCGCACACAAATCACCTCTAACACACACACACCCTGCACCCCTTACACACACTGAACCCTCGCACACACACACAGCTACTCTTACACACTGCCCTCTCACACACACACACACTGCCCTCTCACACACACAACACTCTTCACACACACACTGCACCCCTCATACACACTGCCCCCTCACAAACGCACACTGCCCCTTCACACACACACACACACTGCCCCTCTCACACACACACACAGCTCCCTTCACACACAAACTGCACCTCTCACCTACACACTGCAGCCTTCACACACATACAGCATCCCTCACACACAGCACCACTCACACACAGTGGTGTATTTAGGATTTTCACTGAAACACACACACACTCACATTCACTGACACACACATTCACTTAGATTCACTGACACACACTCACTCACATTCACTGACACACACATTTCCCAACAATTATTATTATATATTTTTTTTAATTGAAATCCACCCAGCCTCCCTATGTTTGGGATAGCTGGGTGGATTTTTCACCTGGGGTCCAGTGGGGCTGCTGGGCAGGAAGGTAGCCGGACGTGCAGGCAGGCGGGCGGCGATGGAGCTGAGTCATATTCCGGCTCCTGGTATTACTGCGGGTCGCGCGATGGCTCTAAGCAGAGCTGCCCCGGTGGAGCCCACAGGTTGCCAGCCGGCCAGCAGGTATTTGCCTGGGCATTTGGGGGGCGGCGTTTTTTGCCGCCCCCTGGAAATTGCCGACCAGGGCAAATACCTTGTTTGCCTCACAGCAGACACATCCCTTCTCACACACACACTACACCCTTCATACACAAAAACACAAACAGAGCTCCCTTCAAACACACACACAGCACCTCACAAACCCACAGAGAAAAAAGTAGAGCAGAAAATTGAAAAAAAAGTGAAAAATAGATAAATTTAAGTACATATTTTTTTTAAAAAAAATCATCCTTTCTAAAAAAAATAAATAAAAAAAAACTCACTTGCACTATAGAATTAGTTACTATGGCACTGGTGGGTGGTAAGGAAATGTTACCATCAACAAAGATACAAAAGTGGGCGGTAGGTATTAAAAGGTTGACTATCCCTGGTGTATTTTAACAGTGAGAGACAGAATAAAAAAAATAAAATGCATAAAAACGCACGTCAAAAAAGTTATAAATTGATTTTCATATCAATGAGTGAAATAAGTATTTGACCCGTTCGACTTAATTCTTGGCGGCAAAACCACAGAGGTCAGAGGCTTCTTGTAGTTGGCCACTAGGTTTGCACACATCTCGGGAGGAATTTTGGCCCACTCCTCTTTGCAGATCCTCTCCAAGTCATTAAGTGTTTGAGGCTGACGTTTGGCAATTCGAAACTTCAGCTCCCTCCACAGATTTTCTATGGGATTAAGGTCTGGAAACTGGCTAAGCCACTCTAAGACCATAAATGGACACTGTAGGCACCCAGATCACGTCAGCTAATTGTGTATGTGTGTGTGTCTACATGGGTGAGATCAGTGTGTGTGTCGGTCTGCATGGGTCTGTGTGTGTCTGCGTGGGTCAGTGTGTGTGTGTGTGCGTATCTGCATGGATCAGTCTGTGTGTGACTGCATGCATCAGTGTGTGCATCAGTCTGCATGGATCAGTATGTTTGCATGGTTCAGTGTGTGTGTCAGTCTGCATGGATCCGTGTGTGTGTCTGCATAAATCACGGTGTGTCTGCATGGGTCAGTGTGTGTGTGTGTGTCTGCATAGATCTTTTTGTGTGTTTGCATGGTATAATGTGTTTGTGTGTCTGCATGGGTCAGTGTGTGTGTGTGTGTCTGCATGGGTCAGTGTGGGTATCAGTCCTCATGGGTCAGTGTGTGTGTGTGTCAGTTCGAATAGGTCAGTGAATTTGTGTGTGCACTGATTGTGAGCCTGTATGTATGTATGCGCCAGTGATTGCATTTGTGCACTAAAGACAGTTTTAATTTCAAAATATTAAAAAAACCAATACTTTAAAATGAACACTATAGTGTTTGAAATATAAACCTGTATTCCGAACACTATAGTATTTCTGTCCCTACAATGATTCAGTGTTTAAAAAAAATCAAATAAAATGTGAAAAAGTGAATGGGGCGGCAAAATCTGTTTTGCCTAGGGCAGCAAAAATCCTTGCACCAGCCCTGACGAGGTGAGATCTTGCATGGAGCACCAGACCGAGGGAGACTGACAGTTATTTTGGGTTTCTTCCATTTGCGAATAATCGCACCAACTGTTGTCACCTTCTCACCAAGCTGCTTGGCGATGGTCTTGTAGCCCATTCCAGCCTTGTGTAGGTCTACAGTCTTGTCCCTGACATCCTTGGACAGCTCTTTGGTATTGGCAATGGAGGAGAGTTTGGAATCTGATTGATTGATTGCTTCTGTGGACAGGTGTCTTTTATACAGGTAACAAACTGAGATTAGGAGCACTCCCTTTAAGAGAGTGCTCCTAATCTCAGCTCATTACCTGTATAAAAGACACCTGGGAGACAGAAATCTTGCAGATTGATAGGGAATCAAATACTTATTTCACTCATTGACATGCAAATTAATTTATAACTTTTTTGACATGCGTTTTTCTGGATTTTTTTTGTTTTGTTATTCTTTCTCTTACTGTTAAAATACACCTACCATTAAAATTATAGACTGATAATTTATTTTTGCCAGTAGGCATACGTTCAAAATCAGCAGGGGGTGAAATACTTTTTTTTCTTCACTATAGTTCTCCAAGGTGAGGTATTAACATTGAATTACAAAAAGGCAATATGGGGCATTTCATGTCATGAACTAAATAGGTCTTCAAGACCTGGGCACTGGGGTATATCCTAGATTAAACTTAATATTTTTGAGTCATTTCTTTTTATAGTAAATTCTTACAATGTGTTGGAGGTGGTCCTTCAGATCGGCGAGTATATAAGAAAACAGAAAGAGATACAATGTTGGAGTATAGCAGTGAATTTGGGTAGAGTCAGTGTGGAAAATCACTTACATTTATAGGAGTTTTCAAATCAGCTCTGAGATTCAAGCGTGGGCAGAATAATCCCCGCCTTGGGATAGGCAGGTGTTTTCCTTAGCAGATTAGGTCCTATATATTACAGGCTAAAAAAAGAGATCCTACTCACATGTTCCTGAGCAATATGGTATTGCTCAATCCTTATGGCGTAGGTGGATATATAATCCCCACCGAGGATATTGCTGATGGAGTTTGTACATGAACAGATGAAGATCCAGGAACAGGATAAACCTGGATTTTATTTGTAACAATGTAAAAACAATACAAGGTTAATATGTAATAAAGAGAAAAGCATTATTACTGGCCTTTGTGAATTTAAATAGTTTTCGCATCTAAATCTCAGTGGGCAGATGATGCAAATGAGAGTAGTGTATTTGTGCTAAGCTATTTATGACAAATTCACTTATTAAATTCACACCAGTCTGCCCTATTTGCTTTCTGATGAACCTCTGGCCTCTTAATTTCTAAATTTTATTACTTTATCTATGCCACCTCATCTGTTAGACAGTTCCATGGATCAACCACTTTTTCCTAGTGATAGATTCTTTGCAGAGCTTCGAACATTCCGAGCTCTGACTTTTGCTTTTTTTTTTTTTTTTTTTTAAATATTCTAGTTTTGGAAATCGGATTCCTGAACCTTTGTGCTTGAAATGCTGAAATAGATGGATATTTAAACTTTGCTTTTAAATAATTAAGGAGTTTTGTTTTAAGAAATTATTGCAGCCACGGGCCACAGAAGACCACGGAGAGCATATTGCATGCTGTAGAGATGCTTGCATTCAGGAGACAGCATTGCAGCAGAATATATTTGCATCTCTCAATGGTCACACCTGGGTCTGGGGGTTTATAAGTCGTCTAACCTTTGTTTAGGAGCACCAACACTTAATAACCAAGCTCGGGGTGGAGGGGAGGGGGCGAAGAGCACGCTGGGCCGTGATTCCCATTTCACAAAGAGCAGACCAGAATAACGATGAGGTCTGACAGAGAGACCCAGATTCTCAATAGGAGTGCAGCGTCCCGTGGCAATAAACTCCCCCCTCCATCTTGCCACTGGGGCCCCTCGTCAAGCGCACTATAATCCCCCCCTGACAACCTAGAGACAGATCACATTACACCCCTTCCACTGGCCCCAGAGGTGGAGCAGCAGTATTAGGGGGGCTGTGAGCCTCACACACCCCTTAACCCATTATGGTGGCAACGCACCTCCATACGATGCAACACATCTAATGATATATAGTTTTCCTATGGGGTGCATCGGCCCCTCAAATTATAGTTCGTAGAACACAGATGTGAAGAGGTAAAGGGGAGATGGAGTTATGGGGAGACTGGGTTAGCGTATAGATATTTTAATTTAGAAATGACATCAAAAGGTATCTATGCGCCAATTGAACTATACTAGTGCACTAATTTGCAGTTCATGTGTTGTAACTGTAGGTGGCAGTGTTGCTTCTGTTTGCAGTGGATAATATGGATTATGGATTAATTATTTAAACATGATGTGAGCAGGATTGAAGCCAGCAATAAATGTTCATCCCTTTCAGGTGCGTTTCCAGGCACAGGAAGTGAAAATTTTAACCCTGTTCAACAGGAATAGAGAGTTACAAGTCAGGTACATTGTACAACATGTTAAACTGTTTACAGCATTTTAAACAATGTAATGTAATTGTACTAATAGATACGACTATCTGATTATGATATATTATTATATATTTTTTGAACACTCTATTCTCTAGGGAATGCTGCAGATTTCTGTATCATTGCAGTGAAGCGTCCATTAAATTCACATCATATCCTGACGTTGCCCACATTGCGTCATGCGATCATGTAATATCTGGGTAAACTAATGTATCAGTTTGGGCCATGAGTTGCAATCACAATGGGTGACTAGTAATGGTTCCTGTTTGTACGGACGCTTAACACATCTTCACCTGTGGGTTTAGTGAGGAAAGCCAGATGATCTTCTCTGCACTGTCTGATGACACATCACCATATTGTGGTAGCCTCTATCTGTAACAGAGCAGATTGTGTGACAGGGAGCAGGGAAGACTGTGCATGATCCCCTATATTATTAAGTTGCCATGTATTGATAATTGAGTGAAGTTTGCAGGAGGGAGCAAGGAATGGAACTCCGTGTTGCCAGGATAGCAGATCTACTGTTACTTTATTACAGTGCCCTGTGTTGAGTGTAGAGGGGGACACAGAACAGAGATTAGTGATGGAAGAAGCACAGATCTCCTGCTCACTGTATTGTGGGCTTCTTAAGTCAGTGGTCTATGTCTGTAATAAAGCAAACATGTTGGAAGCACATATCTCCTGCTCACTCTATCACAAACACTATATAGTTTTTCTATATGTTAGTAATGGAGTAAAACATATTAGAGGAAGCAAGAAAGGGAGCTCTGTTGGAAGCACAGATCTGCTGTCGGAAACACAAATCTGCTCCTTTACTCACTATTAAGTAAGAGAATTTACCAAGAAACTCTTCAACTACCAGAACTCTAAAAATCTGCAAATTGTCACCAGACATTCTCAAAAGTATTAACGCAGCATTTTTTTTTTGCATCATTAGTCAGTTGATACTCTTACGATTCTGAATCCCAAGGCACAAGGTTTCTATGTCGTCCACTAAGAAAAGATAAATATTGGCAGCAACCAGAGATTGCACTTTCCGTAATCAATTACACTGTCTTATCATAAAACTAACATTTTTGTTGAAGCTGTTTTATAAAGTGGAATTTATAATCATGAACACAACCAATGGGCAATCGCCTTTAAATGACGCACCGTCCAGTCACAGCCCCTTTCCATTGAGGACTCAAGAATCTGTAAAACATAAGCATGGTGGGCTACATACATTCAATATGTGTTATAAGTAGACTATGCCTCTGGGCAGGGTATGAAATGCCAGTATTCTCTACAATGCCAGGCTGCCCTGGGCAAGGAGTGAAATGCTGGAATTCTGTACAATGCCAGGCTGCTCCGGGCAGGGTGTGAAATGCCAGTATTTTCTGCAATGCCATGCTGCACCGGGCAGGGTGTGAAATGCCAGCATTCTGTACAATGCCAGGATGCCCTGAGCAAGTTGTGAAATGCGGGGTGTAAAATGCCGGCATTTTGTACAATGCCAGGCTGCCCGGGGCAAAGTGTGAAATGCCAGCATTCTAAACAATGCCAGGCTGCCCCGGGCAGGATGTGAAATGCTGGTGTTCTGTACAATGCCAGGGTGCCCTGGGTAGGGTGTGAAATGCCAGTGTTCTCTACAATGCCATGCTGCACCGGGCAGGGTGTGAAATGCCAGCATTCTGTACAATGCCAGGATGCCCTGAGCAAGTTGTGAAATGCTGGCATTCTGTACAATGCCAGGCTGCCGTGGGTAGGGTGAGAAATGCTGGCATTCTGTACAATGCCAGGCTGCCCCAGGCTGGATGTGAAATGCTGGCATTCTGTACATTGCCAGGATGCCCCAAGCAAGTTGTGAAATGCTGGCATTCTGTACAATGCCAGGCTGCCGTGGGCAGGGTGAGAAATGCTGGCATTCTGTACAATGCCAGGCTGCCCCAGGCTGGATGTGAAATGCTGGCATTCTGTACAATGCCAGGATGCCCTGAGCAAGTTGTGAAATGCTGGCATTCTGTACAATGCCAGGCTGCCGTGGGCAGGGTGAGAAATGCTGGCATTCTGTACAATGCCAGGCTGCCCCAGGCTGGATATGAAATGCTGGCATTCTGTACATTGCCAGGATGCCCCAAGCAAGTTGTGAAATGCTGGCATTCTGTACAATGCCAGGCTGCCCTGGGCGGGGTGTGAAATGCTGGCATTTTGTACAATGCCAGGCTGCCCCAGGCTGGGTATGAAATGCTGGCATTCTGTACAATGCCAGGCTGCCCTGGGCAGGATGTGAAATGCCAGCATTCTCTACAATGCCAGGCTGCCCCAGGCAGGGTGCAAAATGCCAGCATTCTGTACAATGCCAGGTTGCCCCGGGCAGGGTGTGACCTTCCAGCATTCTGTATAATGCCAGGCTGCCCTGGGCAGTGTGTGGAATGCCAGCATTCTGTACAATGCCAGGCTGCCCTAGCAAAGCTTGCAAGTTCAACATTCTTTCATGCATTGCTGGTCATTGTATGTACTGATCATTGTCCATTGGCATGCCAACTATTAAGGACTGCAGTGCACATGATACATACAATACAACAGGAGTAGAGATTGCATGACAAGTGTAGACAACACAATATTGTATACAAGCTAATTTTGTGTGTGTCATGGGATTGTGGGTTTAAGTTATAAGTAATATAGAATGTCAAACTAGATATAGAAGTAGGCACTTAAGGGCAGGGAGCACAAGATGCCTCAAACACAGTATGCAAAATTGGGTTAAAGTGTAAGCTTAGTAGTGTAGAGACTTAATCCTCCACTACTCCACTAGAGAACATTTCTAACATCATAGACATGCATGTAGCTGGAAAGTTGGGGGGGTGGGGGGAGGGGGAGGTGGTGCTTAGGAAGACTATTCGATTGGGATTTAACTCATGTTACCCAGAAGGTAAGGAACGTGAGTACTTGAGTGTAAAGCAGTGCTCCTAGAAACTCCTCATATGTCATATTGTAAGTTATAAAAATTAAAAGGAGAGGTCCCCCTATTGAGCTGCTGACACAAATGGGTGAACCCTCCTGGCATTCCAAGCAGTCGGTGTTGCAGGGAGTGGAGGGTTAGGGTGTACGGTGACCCCCGTGGATAGCCCAAGCTTCTGTAGTGTATCTGTTATTTCCAAGGCCGCGCTGACTTGTAAAGTGCCAGAGTCCCTGGGTATTAACAGGCATCGAGGCGCACCCCATCTATACTGCAGCCTGTGGTTGGAAAGTGCCTTGGTCAGGGGTCGCAAGGATAGTTGCCAGTCGGTAGTGGTCTTGGACAAATCAGAGAAGAAGGTCCGAGAATGCTCTTCAAAGTGGAATGGTGACCTATTACGGACAGCCACCATGAAAGCCAATTGATACTGGCTCTGTTAAAAATAAACAATAATGTCCCTGCTTTCCCCAGGATAGACCACCTTAGCAGATTACCAATATTCAATACCATCATCCAGCACCATGACTTTAGCATGCTTGGCTCAATGTTTTCAGGTAGGCCACGTATTTTGATGATCTTCCAGCGCCTCATCTTCCATGGCCACCATACGTTCATGGATATGGGCCTGAGAACATTGCAGAGTTACAAGCTTTTGTTCTAAGCTCATTATGCGGGTCTTGACACTCCTACAATCTCCTCTCGAAACTGGCCTATGTCAGCTGCGATATTGCACTGCAGCTTGTCCAGGAGGCCTCGCAGTGTCTCCTCCGTGACCGGAGATTTCCTGGCAGGCTTGGGAGGTCAGTTTGTGTATCGGTCCTCTGTTCACGTCCCATAGTCTCCCTGATCTGCAAAGGACTCCTCACTTGATGCTTTTAAAAGCCTTCCACCAACAACGCCATTGCAGGCCTCTGGGAGGTTTGTGGTCTGTGCCCCTAACTGCAGGACGGTATCAGCAACAGTTGGAGCAGAAAGGTTTGGAATATTTTGCTTTTTGTTAGGTTTTTGGTGAGCGTTGCTCAGAGCTTGGCAGATATGCATCCTCTTAGTACGGTAGCGGGCTGCACCTCCCCCACCACTGTTTTTATTGTTGGTATATCTATTCAAGATAGGAGAGTCCACAATAGTGTAACTACAATCCACAGAATTGGTAGCAAGCAACAGAACTCTTCCGCTCCGTGCCCATGACTCTTCATTATGTTCTGCTGTTGAGACTGGCATTCTAGCATTAATCTAGTGCCAAGATGCTCACAAGGACACCAAAATGGCACTAAAATACAGCATATTGGTCACTAGTGTTACCACAACTGAATCACCTTGGCGGCAGGTGAGTGCCCCATGTTGCTCAAATAGAAAACCTTAGTAAATGTTTGCTTTTGGGGCAATAGACCACCTTAGCACATATCTGATTTGGGGGCAATTGTCACGTATTCTTTTGCACATAAAAATGTGATTAATGGCATTTACTGTTCTGACAGGAAAAGTTGTGCCGAGCAACATTACTGTCCTGACAGGAAAAGTTGTGCCGAGCAGCAATCAATCCACAGGAGGATTTGTGCTGAGCAGCAATTATGCAAATAGGAACCTGGTAACTGCCTTTGGGGTCAAAGGCCGGTTACAACCAATCGGATCCACAGGCGGGGTATTTAGGCCCAGTTCTCCTCTTGCTCAGTGCCCTGTTGTGGTTGTCCGAGAGCTCGTTATTGATTCTGGTTATTCTGGTTATTTGACTTTGGCATTGATTTTGACTTCCCTGTTTTCTGGCATCCATGACCACTGGCTTTTCCTTATCGTTGTGTCTCTTTCTGTGTCCCTTGACCTCGGCTATTCCTGACTATTCTATGGTACATTAGTCTAGCCAGTCTAAGGTCCGGTATACGTTGCCTATCAGTCCTCTGTGTTACACCTAAGAAAAGAAAATCATCCTCACCTGCTGGTGCAGGACTCCTTTTTGTATCTGAAAAGGATGGTAAGTTGTGCCCATGGATCGATTACAGGGCATTGAACAAAATCACCATTAAGAACGGCTACCCCATTCCTCTTATTGCTGAATTAATTGACAGACTCCAGGGCGCTAAAGTGTTTACTAAGCTTGACCTTAGAAGCACTTACAATTTAGTGAGAATAAATGAAAACCATGAGTGGAAGACTGCATTTAATACCAGAAGTTGACACTATGAATATCTAGTGATGCCATTCGGGTTGTGCAACGTTCCAGCGGTTTTCCAAGATTTCATTAACGATGTACTCAGGGATTACATTTACTCGTTTGTCTTGGTCTATCTGGATGATACCCTTATTTATTCTCCTGACCTCCAGTCTCACCACGATCACGTTAAACAAGTTCTGCAAACCTTGTTAAAAAAACAACTTTATTGTAAATTGGAAAAATGTATCTTTGACCAGTCTGAAGTACAGTTTTTAGGATATAATATTTCTACCTTCGGGGTTTCAGATGGATCCTAAAAAACTAGAGTCTGTTCTACAGTGGCCTTTACCCACTGGGTTGAAAGCCATTCAAAGGTTCATTGGTTTCGCCAATTATTACAGAAGATTTATAAAGGGATTTTCTTTAGTAATAGTCCCCATCACCAATATGACACGCAAGGGGGCTAGTAGTACGATATGGTCAAAGGAGGCTATTGAAGCCTTTGAAACTCTCAAACAGCGGTTTGCCTCCACCGACATATTGATTCATTCTGACACCAGTAAGCCTTTCATACTGGAGGTTGATGCTTCAGAGACAGGGGTAGGGGCAGTTCTCTCCCAGAGGGAGAGTCAGGGAACTCCATTACATCCTTGTGGTTACTTTTCCAGAAAGTTGTCTCCTAATGATCGCAATTACAATATTGGCAATAGAGAATTGTTGGCCATTATTCTAGCTCTCAAGGAGTGGCGACATCTTTTAGAAGGTTCCAAGGACCCTCTTTTGATCATTACTGATCACAAAAACCTGGCTTACATAGCCAAGCGATTATCTTCTAGACAAGCTAGGTGGTGTCTCCTTCTTTCTCGCTTTAATTTTCTTATCACTTATAGACCTGGTTCTAAAAATGTCAAGGCCAACGCCTTGTACAGGCAGTTTGATACTGAGACTATACTAGAGCAAGAAACGTCCCATATCATTCCCCCGGAATGTATAATTGCGTCCACTGTCCTTTCATTGTCCTCTCCACTGCTTGGCTCCATCATGGAGGCTCAGTCTCAGGCGCCCTGTGGTAAATCTCAGGACAAACTGTTCGTTCCATTGGGGGAAAGGGTTAATATCATGAAGGTGTTTCACGACAATGTGTCTACTAGTTACCCAGGTATTAATAAATCCACTTCTGCTATCATGAGGTCATTATGGTGGGATTCCCTCAGGAAGGATTTTAAGGAGTATGTGCAGGCTTGTTCTGTTTGTGCGGTTTCCAAAGTGCCCCATAAACTTCCTTGTGGCTTGTTACAACCTCTTCCTATCCCTGAGGTCCCATGGTCCCACTTGTCTATGGACTTCATTGTTGAACTTTCTAGTTCTAACGGTTATACCACTATTCTCATGGTTGTAGGCCGTTTTTCTAACATGGCTCATTTTATTCCTCTCAAGAAATTGCCGTCATCTCAAGACCTGGTACTAATCTTTATACGAGAAATTGCCCGTCTGCATGGCATTCCTCACAATATAGTATCTGATAAAGGTTCTCCGTTTGTGTCCCGGTTTTGGAGGGCCTTCAATAAACAATTAGGGATTGAATTGCCTTTTTCATCCTCTTACCACCCCCAGAGCAATGGTACAGCTGAGAAGGCTAACCAGTCCTTGGAATTATGTTTGCGTTGTTTCGTTAATAGCACTCAAGACAATTGATCCGAATTACTACCATGGGCCGAGTTTGCTAGGAACAATGCTGACCATGACTCCTCTGGGCATAGTCCATTTTTTGTTAATAATGGCCATCATACTACTGTCCTTCAGGCTGTTTTTCTGATACGGCTATTCCTGCTTTGGATGACCGTCTGGCTTCCATCCGTGATACCTGGGTTAAAGTTCAATCTGCTCTGGGTACTGCTGCTGACCGTTTCAAGCATTATGCTGATACACGTCGAGGTCTCAACCCTGTTTACCAAGTGGATGAGAGGGCTTGGTTATCTTCTCGTAACATCAGGCTCAAAGTACCTAGCATGAAATTTGCTCCTAGGTTCCTTGGACCTTTTCGTGTCCTTCGTAGGCTCAATCCTGTTGCCTACTCTCTGGCCCTTCCTCCCTCCTTGAAAATTCCTAATACCTTTCATGTGTCCTTACACAAACCTCTTGTTTGCAATAAATATACTGTCTCAAGTGTCCCTCCTCCTCCCTTAGTTGTTTCTGAACAGGAAGAGCATGGGGTCTCCTCCATAATTGATTTCACGTTTTCTCGGGGCACTTTACAGTACTTGGTGGATTGGAAAGGTTATGGATCAGCCGGTCGTTCTTGGGTTCCGGCATCTGATATACATGCTGGCCGCAAGAATCACTATTTTCACGCCAAGTTTCCTCTCAAGCCTGGTCCTTCCCGCCCGGTGGGCCAGCGGCGTACATACCGAGGTCGGGTACCAGGCCTGCTGCCACATTTTGTGGCCCCGGCCTGCGCGTCAAGCCGCCGAGGCCGCACATGGAAGGGTCCATCGGGTGGCCCATGCACGGATCAGTTTCGCACCGGGGCCCTATGGATTGTGTGTACGCCCATGGTGGGCGTTCTTCACGTGGGGGGGTAATGTCACGTATTCATCCTCACATAAAAATGTGATTAATGGCATTTACTGTTCTGACAGGAAAAGTTGTGCCGAGCAACATTACTGTCCAGACAGGAAAAGTTGTGCCGGGCAGCAATCAATCCACAGGAGGGTTTGTGCTGAGCAGCAATCATGCAAATAGGAACCTGGTAACTGCCTTTGGGGTCAAAGGCCGGTCACAACCAATCGGATCCACAGGCGGGGTATTTAGGCCCAGTTATCCTCTTGCTCAGTGCCCTGTCGTGGTTTCCCTTGTGGTTGTCCGAGAGCGCGTTATTGATTCTGGTTATTTGACTTTGGCATTGATTTTGACTTCCCTGTTTTCTGGCATCCCTGACCCCTGGCTTTTCCTTATCGTTGTGTCTCTTTCTGGGTCCCTTGACCTCGGCTATTCCTGACTATTCTTTGGTACATTAGTCCGGCCATTCTAAGGTCCGGTATACCTTACCTATCAGTCCCCTGTGTTACACAATTCTACGTGCTGGATCATACTGTAATCCTGACAGCAATAGACTGCCTGCATTGGGGGCAATAGACCACCATAGCACATATCTGATTTGGGGCCAATAGACCACATTAGCACATACCTGCATTGTGGACAATAGACCACCATAGCACGTATTGGCATTGGGGGAAATAGACCACCTTAGCACATGCCCACATTGGGGTTAATAGACCACCTTAGCACATGCCCGCATTGGGGTTAATAGATCACCTTAGCACATGCCCACATTGGGGACAATAGACCACCTTAACACATGCCCGCATTGTGGGCAATAGACCACCTTAGCACATATCTGATTTGGGAGCAATAGACCACCTTAGCACATATCGTATTTGGGGGGGAAAGACCACCTTAGCACATGCCCGCATTGGGTTTAATAGATCACCTTAGCACATGCCAACATTGGGAACAATAGACCATGTGCATGTGTGAGGGGGGGCATTGTATGTGTGAGAGAGGGCCAGTGTGTGTGTGTGTATGTGAGGGGTGCTCTGTTTGTGGGGGGGTGAAGTGTGTGTGTTAGAGGTGATGTGTGTGTGTGTGAGAGAGGTGCTGTGTGTTAAGGGTGGAGTGTGTGGGGGGAGGTGCGTGTATGGGGGCGGTGTGTGTTTGGGGGGTAGTGTGTGTGTGATGGGTGAAGTGTGGGCTAGTGTGAGTGAGGGGTGCAGTGTGTGTAAGTGGTGCAGTGTGTGTCAGGGGGCAGTGTGTGTGAGGGGTGCAGTGTGTGTGAGAGTGGCAGTCTGTGTGTGTGTGTGAGAGGTGTAGTGTGTGTTTGTGTGTGAAGGGTGCATAGAGTCTATGCTGTGTGTAGGTGGGTGAGATGTGAAAATCTATCTTAATGTCTCCCCTTGCCTTCTTCTTACCTTTTACCAAGGAAGGTGGACATAATGCTGCAAGCTTTTGTTGTCCAGTGGTGGCATGTTTACTGTATACCGCAGCTCCTCTGGCTGCAGGCTGACTCTCCTGCCCTCCTGCTAGCACAGCACTGTATTGGAGCGTTGCCATTGTAATGCATGGCAGCGCTCCCACCAGCCTGCTCTCGTGGGAGGAACACAGAGCCTTTCCCTCCCACTGCTGAAACTAAGCCAAAGAGGGCTTATAGCAAGGCTGCCTCTGCATGGTAGGTCTGGTCCATGGCCATCAATGCCCATCGAGGCCCACCAGGCGTTTTCTGCACCGCCCACCTGAAATCATAAACCGCCCACTAGTGGGCTGTAGGGACCAGGTTGACTACCCATGTCCTAGGAGGATATTAACATTGTAAAAATTTGATATTGCACCAATAGTACTGTGTTATTTTCCTAAAAACAAATAAGATGGAGTTGTGGTCAAATAATAGAATACAAAAAAGGTATGAAACCAGATGATTGGTTTATAAAATTTAAATTTTACCAAATCGAAACCCAAACCTAAACAAACTTTAACCATAAAGCTTACAAGCACTAGGGGGCAGGTATCCACTCTGGCAGTGCCTTCAGACTAAGAAAGTCATTATCTTGACATTTGTATCTGCAGGAAGGAACTAGTTACGATGGGTAGACGGCATCCTATAGGACAGTTTATTTTCAAATTATGTTTAAAGGGTGCATGATAATCTTGGTCACTCACTACATAATAAGCCGCAATCCAGAATCCAAGCTTGACAAAGACTTCTACCTGAGGTAGAAACATTGCTTCTCTTTATTTGGTTAACAATATATTTGGAGCACTGATTTGCAGTTGTAGACTGATGGAGCTATATTTCGAGGGGAAATGTCACTATCCTGACACATGTCCATCTGACACATGCCTCCAGTTATTCTTACATGGTATAGCATGAAATTATCTTATAAATCTTTGTCTGATTGGCATGTCACCTAATTTACCAAATGGCTGATATAGTGTTCTAAAGAGTTTCATGAAACATCGAATCGCAGCAAATTGTAAACCAAACTGCCAGCAGTTAGAGAATTTTTCCAAATCAGCACTTTTTTCCTCAGTTTTGCTATACATCTAGTGCAGAGATAGGCAACGTTCAGCACTCCAGATGTTGTGGACTACATCCCCCATAATGCTCTTGCACCTATAATGCTGGCAAAGCATCATGGAAGGTGTAGTCCAAAACATCTGGCGTGCCGAAGGTTGCCTATGCCTGATCTAGTGTTTACTACATAAACTCCTAAGCATGGCCTATATTACCATCCAGCAGTGATACCATCATGCATAATGTTTTCAGAATTTTCAGCAGTACCACGCAGCAGGTATCAAACCAATTACAATATGCCAACTTTTAGCTATTGGTAACGACGCCAGAGTTAGAAAATGTTTCCTATAAAAAAAGTCTGAAACTGTCATTTCAATCTTCTTTCTTTTCAATAACAGACTTATATCGGTCTAAAAAAGTTAGTTAAAAAAAATATATATAGTAATTTAAAATTTGTGCCTTTCATGGGTGTTCCATTACATCACAGGCTGAAGGTTACAGACATTCGAGTGCATTGATGATGTTAATAGGTGATAGGTGTGTCATTAACCCATTAGGTTCTATGTGGACATTGCAGTGTTCACGTACGTTTAAAGGGCATTTTGGGTATTGTGCAATTATGTTATGTTGATTTTTTATGATATATTGTAGTTATAGTATTTATTTGCCCTTTAAAACTGGTGTCATTGATTAATGAGGAATTGTTACTTGTACATGTCATCAAATCTGGGAAGGAGCTTTTAGTGTTCATGTGCTCATGCACT